AATCCAACGTCTTTAAAGCTCCCTCCCCCATCTGATTTCCCACAGGCACAAAGCCAGGGGGCCTCTGGTCTGCAGCAGCACAAAAATGGCCACGAGTCTTTGAGGCCAAACACTGTACGATGCTGAAAGGGGTCAGTGCCCTCATTTTAATAAAAGTTTTATTTTTGCAGGGAGACTAAAACAACAAGAACAACCACCACCACCTCACAGGCCAGCCTGCATCCATCCCACTGATGGGTGTTTTCTTCCCAGAGGCACCCACCACGACTTGTTCCGCCAGAGTGACGAAACGGGAGAGAAAATGGCTTGGAGCAGAAGAATGGGAATTCCAGCAAGCTGGTCATTCCTCAGAGTGACAATGGGGACCCAGAGGGCAGCAGTGCGGGGCTTCTGGAAACAACCAGAGGAACCAGGCCACAAGACTGCTGTGTGCCACGTGGGGCTGTCACTTTGCTCATTTCAAACCTAGAAGCCAGACACCCAGACAAACCTGGATCCCAGAGGAGCAGGAAGGGAAGGGTTTCTCACCACAGAGAATGTGGTGCCCAAGCTGGGAAGCAACCTGGAAGGAATCAGGGGCATCTGGGGTGAGAGGTACCAAGAGACACACTAGGATGGGCTGACCCAGTGCAGCTCCCTGTGACATGGGGAGCGCATCCCTTAATCTGATCAGGTCAGGATCCCGCCCTTCTGGCCTTATTTAAGCTTATTCCCTTCACTCAAATATAGCCAGACTGGGATAGACAGTTGTAGGCTGTGAATTTGGGTGAGGTGGGGGCATACGAACATTTAGTTCATTACCGGCACCATTTCTCTGAGTCTCCAGGTCATTCATACCAGTTTGCTCAGCCTACCATTGCAAGATGCCACCCATGGGGTGGCTTAAATGACAGACATTCATCTCTCACAGTCCTGAGGATGGACGTCCATAACCTAGGGGCTGGCAGATTTCAGTCTTCTGGTTTCGCCCTCTCACTGCAGAGACAGAGAGAAGTGACTCTCTCCTGTCCCTTTTCTGAGAACATTAATCCCATGGCCGAGGGCTCCACCCTCATGACCTCATCACCTCCCAGAGGCCCCGCCTCCTAAGACCACGGCGCTCTGGGTAGGATTTCAACACATGAATTTTGGGAAGGCACAACATGCTGTCCAAGACATCAGGGATCAACAAAGCCAGTCTCCATTCCCAGATGGCCTTCAGAGCAGGAATGGTGGCTCCTCCCTCCTTTACTGCGGATGCCCACCGAGTGGGATGCTGTAGGCTCTCGGTCCAGACTCGTGCCGGAAGAGGCAGGAGGAAGGATGAGGGAGGCCTTCATAAATGGGAAGCCCTAAAGCAGAGGACCGTGCTTAGGTTGATTCCAAAGCATATTGGGGAGCCCTTGAAAGAGGAGGGCTTTCTGCCTTGTTTCCAACTTTCTAGCCCAAACTCAGTCGGTCCAAGAAAAAAATCTCCCAAGCACGTCCTGTGTGCCTGTCATGATGCCAAAAGCCGGGACTAGAGAGAACACAAGACACTCAAAATATTTACAGTGCAGGGGGAAAGTCGGTATTCCAGAAAGTCGGAGGCTGCTTCCGGAGACAATGAAGCCCACTGGAGACATAACAAGAGCCAAAGTGACAATGTCTGGCCTTTACTCTAATAATAATTATAATAATGATCACATGTAATGATAACCGCAGTGGTTGTCCATCTGTGCGGCCAGCTGCTGGCCCAGTGCGCCCAAAAGAGTCCCAGAAACACTTTTGTTTTCCGGGGATGGTGAGGACACCGTGCCTGCCTCTGCCTGAGCCCACGGGGGCACAGCTGAGGAGGCTCGGTGTCTGCTGGCATGGCAGGTAGGGTCAGAAACAACAAAATTAGGTGCATTCTCCTTCAGACTTATGAATCCCTCTTCTGCATTTGCCCTCACACTCTGACATTAATCGAACTCTGTCTTCACTACTAAAAATAAACTCCAGGTCAAATGCAATGAGCCAAAAACCTCAGCATGAAACCACAAGAACTAGAGTAAATAGTCAAATGGGCTAATGGCAGAGGTGTTTGGGTGAAAATATGTTTTCTGTTTCAAGCCCAGAGTCCCGAGTGGGCCAGGAGCTCTTTCAGTGCTGCAGACTGGGAAATACAGGAGGCAACCACACAGCGGTGGCCACGGACCAGGGCTGGCTCCTGTCCACGAACAGGCCGGCAAGCAGGAGCTCGCGGACACCCTCTCCCCCAAAGGTCAGGGCCGGCGGCAGCCTGAAAAGATCTCGTGGGAGCCGAGAGACACTCCCAGGGGAACAGTGGCAGGAGAAGAGTCCAAACAGCAAGGTGAGGGTCAAAGGGAAGAAGGCAAGCCCACCTGTATGTCCAAGCAGGGGTGGGGATGGGAGAATCAACCATCAGAAGGTAGACAGGTAAGGAGGTGGAGAAGCCAGCAAGGGCTCCCTTTGGCTGAGCATTCTTTTCAGGCCAGCTTTGGGCTCCTCAAGACCAGCCTGAGGAGGGACTGGTCCATTTTGCAACTGAGAGACAAGAAGCCTGGAGAGGGTGAAGGACCTGCCCAGGGTCCCCGGGGCCCTAGGAGGGGGAGGTGGGACAGAATGCAGGCGTACTGGTACCTCTGTTCCAGGACCCAGGCTCACAGACGGCAGGGGTGCAGGCAGACAGGCCCCCGGTGGAACGATGGTGTCCTCCGGCGGCCAGAACCACACGCACCAGCACAGCGTGCACACCTTTCTCGGAGGTCCCAGCACAGACCAGCCCTGCCCAGGTGTTCACCATGCTGCTCCTCGGAAGCTCAGCACCCAGCCCTGCGCCATCTGCCTACTCCCAGCAGCTGAATTCTGGGGACGCTCCTTTCTCGTCACCCCAAGACTGATGGGTCAGGCCACTCTTCCATTCACAGAATGAAGGCAACACCGTTCATGTTCACGGCTGCGGCAGCAAGAGATGGTGCTCCCAGCTCGCAGCTCGTCCCGCCAATGACTAGAGTCCCATCGGCCCTTGTCTGCACTCCCAGTGGGAGCAGCTTGTTCCAGCCCTAATGCCAGGTGCTCCAGGGAAAAGGGTGATCACACAAGAGGCTGAGGCACTTTCACCGCTTCTGAAGTCGGCTACCTGGATCTGGAGAGTGGGCTTCGGAAGCAAACGGCAAGGGACTGGCTGAGTGCTGGAGAGCAGACCAGGTGGTCTGGCAGCGACACTCAGTGTAGATGAGCTCTGACCCCAAAGTGGGCCATCAGCTCCTGACATGGCAGTGGGGACACAGGTGCACCAGGATGCTGGTGCACAGACACCCCAACTGCAAATCGGCTCAGCTCCTACTAGGTCTCACTCATGTGCCACCTCCCCCTTCCCCAGAAAGCCCCTGTGACCCTGCCCTGCCCTGCCTGTGGAGAGTCTAGAGAACCCCAGGTGCGTGTCAATCTCCCCCACCTTGAGTGGAGGGCGGGGCCTCACACTGGCACCATGTGGGTCACTGGACCAAGGGGGGCACAGGAGAGGAGAGATACAAATGCACTCAGACACATTTAACACAGAAAAGACACAGGCTCATGAACACCGTCCTCTGCTGTCCTCTCCCTCTGATGGCCACACCTGTCTTCTCACGGGTCCCCACCTGAACCATGGTTCCATGTTCCGTTGTGATTCATTCTTTTCAACACCTTGTTTTTTAAAGAAAAAAAATTGCAACTGACCTCATTCTTTGCTCTAAGTCTTTAAGAACTTTCTTCTTTGGTATTCTCTTACTTTCTCCTTCCTCCTTTTTAGTTACTCATTCCTTTGTTCTTACAACATCCACAGTAGTATTAGGTGGGTGTCGGGAGGGCTGTGAGGATGTGGAAGACAGGCCTTTGCTCTAAACAAGGTCATGAGCAACTGGGGGCGCAGACGTGGGTGGGGGAGAGACACGACAGGGTCTGAGGGAGGCATGCCCTAGATCGCGGGAGGAAGTCAGGCACTCTGCTCAGGGAAGGGGGACCTGGTGGGAGCGGAAACACAGAGAGAAGAGCAGACCAAAGACTTGGAAAGAGCCTGCTGTGTGGAAGGCACTGTACATGGTGTAGTTAATGAGTTTAAACAACAACAACCACCCCAGTGTGCCTGGGTGGTGCAGCTGGTGAAGCGTTGGACTGTTGGTTTCACTTCAGGTCTTGGTCTCAGGGTCCTGAGATGGAGCTGCCCACTGGGCTTTGCACTCGCCATGGAATCTGCTTGAGATTCTCTCTCTCCCTCTCCCTCCGCTCCTCCCGCTATTGCTCTCTCTCTCTATCTCAAATATATAAATAATTCTTTAAAAAGAAAAAGAAAAAGAAAAAAAAAAAGAAAAACAAAAAACCCCTCCTGTTTTGGAGCATTTCCTTCTCCATGTCAGGCAGCCTGATGAACTATCTCCACCATCTTATTCAATACCCGTGACATCCTCTTGAGGCCAGAGCTGACGCGATCCCTATCTTGCAGACGAGGGAACTGAGGCTGGGAGCAGCTGAGTGACCTGCCTACGGTGGCAAAGCCAGGAAAACCCAGGTCTGCCCGAAACCCCGGGTTTTCACCTCTTCCTTTACCCCAGACAGCCTCGGACTTGGAACGACTAAGCATGAAATGCAAGGGGGTGGGAGGGAGACAGGGATTCTGTCTCCCCCCAAACACCCAAAAGGTGTTTTGCCCACAATGTACCATCTCATCTCCCCCAGTGATGCAGTCTCCATACGTCTCAGCAGGACAGGGGAGTATCCGCCCGCCTCAACCAGAAGGAAGGGTGCGGGGTATCCACCTAGGAGGGCATGGGCTCCATCCCCGGCTAGACACAGAGGGAGAGCTCCCAAAGCATGACACTGAGGCCACCGAATGCCGAGAACCAGGTCCCAGATGTCAGGGTGAGGTTACGGGAAGCCGGCTTCTCAAATCAGCACAGGAAACCAGGCCAAGAAGTCAAGAACCACAACCCAACTTGTGTCACAGGAGATCACGGATTCCAAAGGCTAGTTTTTGTTCAAGAGGAGAAATCTCTTACCTTTATTCTCCAAATCCCCAAATGGCCCAGCTTTTTCATTCAGGGAAGGACATTCCCTCTAGAGTACCAAACAGGTACATCTGCTTTTCAGACTGACAGCACCAAAATCCAAGGAATGATGGGATTCTGTAAACCGGCAAGAAAAGGACACAGAAGTATTAGAATCAAGGCTGACACAGAACAGATTTGATGAGAGGTTCCATTCATTTGAAAAATACAAAATGCATACTGACTAGATGTTGAAGGAGAAGCTTCAGAAGAGCAGACATTTACTGAGCAACTATTATGGGTCAAGCCCTGTGTTAAATCATTTAATCCTGGGAGACCAGTTTTGATGGCTCCATGTTTCCGAAGTCACGTATGAGGCCAGGCCAGAATGCAGGGCCACATCTTCCTGCCTCCCAAAACCCTGCCCATCGATCTCGTTTTCTGTCCCCACTAAAGCTATTCCACGCACCTAAGTCCGGAAACCCCAGGTAGAGGGAACAGAAAAACACACCCAGTAACTTCCCTCTGAGAATGTCCTGTCCCTGGATGTCCAGCCCATTCCACAGATGGTGGGGACACTATGAGCCATGGAGGTGGTGTCACAGTCACTAGGTTGTAAGCTTTATCTGAGCTGGACCCTGTCATATGGTAACCTGTGACCGGCAGACACCATGGATTACTCAGGGAACAAAAAGTGTCACTTCACCAGGGGTTCTTATTCTAACTGATCATCAAGATGGCTATATGAGGTGGCCAAATGGGGGGTGATGGAAAATGGGATAAGGGGGCCACTGCTGGTCTTACTAGCTCTGGAAGGACCTCCCAAGACACCTGGAGCAGAGCTGAACGCTCAGCCGGGTGGGTGCAGACACAGACTCTTCTCCTTTGAGGGGCAGTTGGCACAACCGAAAGCCACACTTCTGGGGCCCCGGGGTGGTTCAGTTGATTAAGCCTCTGCCTTCAGCTCAGGTCATGATCCCAGGGTCCTGCGATCGAGCCCCGAAGGGGGTTCCCTGCTCGGTGGGGAGTCTGCTTCTCCCTCTCCCACTGCGCACCCCCCAAATCTGCATGTGTGCATGTGTTCTCTCTCAAATAGATAAATATAATCTGAAAAAAAAAAAAAAAAGCCACAAGATTATGTTGACAGGGTGCCCGGGTGGCTCAGTGGGTTAGAGCCTCTGCCTTTGGCTCAGGTCATGATCCCAGGGTCCTGGGATCGAGTCCTGCATTGGGCTCTCTGCTCAGCAGGGAGCCTGCTTCTCCGTCTCTCTCTGCCTGCCTCTCTGCCTACTTGTGATCTCTGTCTGTCAAATAAATCTTTAAAAAGAGGTTGCCTGGGTGGCTCAGTGGGTTGAGCCTCTGCCTTCGGCTCAGGTCATGATCTCAGGGTCCTCGGATCGAGTCCCGCATCGGGCTCTCTGCAAGGTGGGGAGCCTGCTTCCTCCTCTCTCTCTCTCTCTCTCTCTCTGTCAAATAAATAAAATCTTAAAATAAATAAATAAATAAATCTTAAAAAAAAAAAAAGATTACATTGACAGTGGGTGATTCTACCCTGTTCCAGACCTTCCTCCTGTACCCCCTCAATTTCCCCAGCATCTTAGCCATCAGATCATCAAGAAGATGGAGCTCAGTGAACACGGACTCAGCATCAGTAAGACTGACAGGTTCTGAAGAGGAATTTGCCCCCAAATGTAGGAACAACTGGAGAAAGACCGTCATCCCCAGCCAAGAGCAGATGTCAGGTGGCCTGTCTTCCCCACCATTGATTCCTTCACCCTCGTCCAGGGGAATGTGGTCACAATTAGCTTCTCTGAGCCCCCACGTTGTCACACGCCTCCCTTGGACGTGTTGGCATCATGGACGGACCCACAGCAGCTCTACAGGCCGGGGAGTGCCTGTCTCCTCCCACCCCATGCCCTGCCCCCGTTCTCAGCAGAAGACGCTCACCCAGGGAAGTCCCTTGCCTGGCGATGCACTCAGAAGGCTGTGTCCTCGGCACATCCACGCTCCAGCTATGGGCGGCCTCCCATACTTCTCAGGCACTTTCTTTTTTTGCCTTACTGTCAAAAATGCACTCGCCTTATTGCCTGGAAAAGGCAGCAGCCCGGCTCCTGGTTGTTAGACCGCCTGGATAGGCATTCCAGGTCTACAAGAGTCTTTTTATGGAGCCCGAGCAAGTTACCCTCCAAACCTCAGTTTCTCATCTTAAAGGTTTGTCCTTAGTCTTAAGTGAGAATCTTTGCAGAGCTCAGCACTGAGCCTGCCACGTTGTGAAAACTCAGAATAATCAGCTATTAGAAACACCACTTAGCCAACGCTCTGGCCTGAACTTCTTGGTCTCTTCCCAATGAGGGGGAAAAGGCCCCCCTCCTCCTACCTCAGCACAATGACTTATCCAGCGCAGGGCTCAGCACTCGGGGCAGAGGGAACAAGCAAAGCCCATCAGAATCCATGCAGTGGACCACAACACTCACCCGTCTCCCAGCTGTGCCACCAGCGTTAGACAAGACAGAGCACGCAAGAGGGGCTCTACAAACAGTCAGGTGCTAGAGCACCTTACTGAATCACATCAACACCACCACCAACAAGCGCCATCTTCACAGAACACTTTGCTAAGGAATGTCCTCACAGGACCACACTGAGCACCCGCAGTGACCCGAGGAGGCCAGGTCACCGTGTAAACCTCATCCCCATTTTACAGATGTGGGAACGGAAGGTCAGCGGGGCTGAGGAGGAACTTGCAGCTGCATCTCTGGTCTGCAGGCTCACTCCCTCTTCCTTGAAAGGGGGGTTAGCAATAACACACAACATCAGCTCTTGCAGAAAAAGAACCTCTTTCCAAGGCAGCCAAATTGATTAATGTTTTTAATTAATGTTTTAAGCCACACACACACACACACACGGAGCAATGTTCCATGGAAAACGAAGAGCTAAAACTTCCAAGTTTCTCCTGGGAGCCAGTCCAGCCAGGTGCTCGCTGCCAGAGGGATGGGGGGAGGAGTCCTGAGCCAGCCAGGGAGGTCAGAGTGGTAAGGTCACAGCCCTGCCTCGATACACTGGGCCTGGCAGGCAGTCCAGTCACTTCCCATCCACAGAGATGAGCCAGGGATGAAGGAGACTGGTATAGTACAGGAATCTGTCAATCTCAGCAGAGGAGAGAGCTGGGGTGCAGAGGGAGGCCCGATGTGTAGCAGGTGCCTGGGTCCTGGGCCTAAAGGGGGAGGTGGCTGCTCCTTCCAGAACCTCCCGCCTGACGCTTGGTCCCAAGGACGGGACATCCACCTGCTCTGCAGTGCACGGAGATATGCCGCATGTGAACTGGGGGCTGCAGGCATTCTCCGGATGCTGACGAGAGTTCCCTGATGGGGCCTGGGATCATTGGTGCGGCCCAATGCTGTGTTCAGGTGAGTAAGGGATTGGAGTGCCTGTGACAGGCAGACCCAGGACCCCACGGTGCCCTGGAGGTGAAAAGCAGACTGGGGCCCAGAGAGGAGCCCTCTTTTGTTGTGCTTAGGGACCCCCTTGCTCTGCCAGTGGTATTCCAAGTGAGTAAGTGAGTCCTGTACCCAAGTGTCCTCTACACAATCTGAAGGCGGGGCCGTATCAGCTTCCTATCTCCAACAGGAAGGTGAGGGGCATGGAGTGTGGCACACAACACTGAATAATTAATCAGCAGCTCCACTGGGGGCATGGCGGCCACGCTGTCAGGGCAGCTGGCCTTGAATGCCACCTGGATGCTGCATGGGCAGTGGGGCCAAGTGGGCACACTGACAGCAGCCAGGACCGCCACCTTCTTGGTGCAGGCCCTGAGCCGCTTAGCAAGAGAGAGATCTGGCTGTGAGAAGAGTGACTGCATGGGAATTCCTGGCTTTAAAATCATCAAAATGCCATCTGTTCACTGCAAATAGACCACAGAGGTGGACTACGGCACCTGTAGCAGCAGAGGACAGGATAGCTGTCCCCCAAGAAGCCCCTGAGAGCAGGACCCAAGCTTGGGATGTGTTTGCTCCCTCTGGAAAAGGCCTGGGGGAAAGACATTGACTCAGGTACCTCTGTGCCTCTCCTGCAAGGTCAGCAAAGCTGGTGGAAGCCTCCAGCCTGACCCAGCAGTGATCCCAAGTGACATCACGGAAGTATGGTCAGTAGTGCCCCCAACACTATGAGATCCAGCAGGCTGAATGCAGAGGCAACAAGTGTGCTCAGGACGCAGGTTGCTCAGGTCAGAGCTAGTCCCTACCCGCTAACCGCTGTGCACCCTGGGCAGTCTACTCACCCTCTCTGATCATGTGTAAATCAGGGCTCCTAAGAGCAGTTACCTTTCTGGACGGGGCAAGGATGCATGCAGGGTGTGCAGAGCTCCAAGTACAATGTCTGGTGCAGTAAAGGCTTGAGTCACCCTGGGTTATTCTCAGGGTCTATGTACTGTCTCCACTTGTGTTGCTGAGCAGGCAGATCAGACAGCCTTGGATTCAAATCCCAGCCCTGCCACTTCCTAGGAACATGGCCATGGACCATTCACTTGACCTCCCTATACCTTAGTTTGCTCATTACCAACAAGTCACAACCAAGGATTACAGGACATGAAGTAAAGCAAGCGGTATGGCGTGAACCTTCAGGAATGAGGGCCCCACCCCAAACTGAACAACACTCCATGAAGCAAAACTGGCCCGGACTCTTCAAAACATCAAGGTCAAGAACAGCCAAGGAAATGTTCCAAGATAAAGGGAGGCTAAGGAGACATGGCCATTAAACCCAGCGGTGACCTGGAATCGGGGGAAGAGAATCCCAAGGACATTACTGGGACAGCCGATGAAATTGTGTGTGGCCTGCGGAGGAGAGAAAACAATTGCAGCCACGCTGAATTTCCCGAGTTTGATCGTTACAGGGGGTTTCTGTGAGAATGTCCTTGTTCTTAGGAAAGACATGCTGAATACTTTGGGATAAAAGGGCATGTCTACAACTTACAGATGATTCCCCCAAAAAAGTGTGTGTGCGTGTGTGTGTGTGTGTTTCAGTCGGGGTGAGATCGAACCAGCCACTGGTGATTCTGAGTGTATGTTGGTTCTCCGCATCGCCTCTGCAATGTTTTCTGCCAGTATGAAATCATGTCCAAATGAAAGATGACCGAGGGCCCAGAT